AATCATATGCCCTCTTCAGTATTGAATAAAAAAATAGTTGTGTTTGCTTTGTTCATGTGTTAGGGACTGATAATAATCAGTTATATCCTTGAGCTATCAAGAGTGTTTTTCTAGGGTATGCACACTTCCAGAGAGGTTATCATCGCCATCATCTTGGTTTATGAAAGAAGTTTTTTTTTGCTGATGTTACCATTTTTGAAAATATCCCCTTTTTAGAAGAGGGTCGTATGCTTAATGCATATTGTTTTTATCCTACTCCAGAAGAAGTCTCAAAGTCCTCATCTCTATAGTTCCTCTTCCTATTCCTTTTGATACTTTTTCTTCGCCTCAGTGACCTAGACCTGCTGAACCTTTTACTTCAACACATCATGATGTCACTCACAAGCAGCCTATAAAGGTACACGAGAAGGAAAGTGCAGGATGGACACCCTCCACCGACTCATCCAGCCAACCAATCATCATCTTTGCCTACAAATGCACTTCTAGCTTCTGACTCACATTCTACGTCTGGTGATGATAATGTACCTTTACCTATGGTGATGATAATGTACCTTTACCTATCGCCATCCGTCAAGGCACAAGGTCATGTGCTCAAGATCCCATTGCTCATTTTGTTACCTTTACAAATTTGCGTGCATCCTATCAAAGTTTTGCAGCTTTTGCTTTAGCTCTTTCATCTATTTCTATCCCTAAGTCTTATCAAGAAGCCCTTTTTCACACTGGGTGGAAGAAAACAAAGAACGAGAAAAGGGATACACTCAACTTGAAAAATATATAGAAGCACACTAAGCTACCAGCCGGAAAAGAACTATTGTGTGTCACTAAGTTTTAGTAAAATAGCAGCCTAATGGCATTATCGAGAGATTAAAACCCAGATTGGTTGCCAAAGGATACACCCAAACCTTTGACAATGATCACTCTGAAATTTTTTCTCTTGTTGTGAAACTTTATTAGGTTCAAGTACTTATATACATAACCTCAAATAAAAGCTGGCCATTGTCACAGCTTGATGTGAAGAATGCCTTCCTCCATAGTCATTTACAAGAGGAGGTGTATATGGAGCAACCACTTCGGGATTTTTCTCAGGGGGAGTCATACAAGGTGTGTAAGTTGAAGTGAGCCACTTACAGTTAGAAATGTACCCCACATGCATGGTTTGAGAGATTTAGTGAAATTATTGACATTAGGATTTAGTAGTAGCCATGCACATCATTTAGTGTTCATTTGGAAACATGACTCCAAGACAATTGTCTTAGTTGAATGTGTCCGTGACATTGTCATTACACGCAATGATCAAGAAAGTCATCAGTCATTTGAAGAGACATCTAGAAACAATATGTTCAGACAACGGATTCGGCCAACAAAGTTATTTTCTAAAAATTGAACTAAAGCATGGGATTAGCTTGTCTCAAAGACAATACGCGATTGATTTGTCAACAAACTCGAATGTTAGGTGCTAAACCAATTGGTATTCTATAGATTCAATACAAAATTATTGTTTGATAAGGGGGAGTCATTTGAGGATCCAGGAAAGTGCAAAAGACGGGCAGGCAGGTTGATTTATTTGACTATCACTAGGCATGATATTGCTTTTGCAGTAAGTGTAGCGAGTCTTTTTATGCACTCTCCCATGGTTCCTCACAGGGATGTTGTTCGTAGAATTGTGAGGCATCTCAGGGGAGCTCCAAGTCGAGATCTGATTTACAATCAAATAATCAATTGACCATTGAGAGTTACTCAAATGCTGAATGACCATGTTGTAGACAAGCGATCTACAACATGCTATTGTACATTTATTGGTCGTAATTTGGTTACATGAGAAGTAACAAACAAAATATTATAGCTAGATCTAGTGCAGAGGCTGAATATATAGCAATGGCACATACATGAGAACTGATGTAGAACTGATGTGGCTGAAGAGACTAGTGTTGAGCCTATGAAGATGTAGTGACAATAAAGTTGCAACTTATATAGCCAACAATTCAGTGTTTCATGAGAACTAAGTCAATTTACTTGAGAGAAGGTTACCACAAAGCAAGTGTCTACTCCATATGTGAAATCTAAGGATCGGTTGGCATGTATATTCACCAAAGCCCATGCTTGTAACTTGTTTCCAAACAATTAGTTCCAAGATGGTTAGGGTTGGCATTTATGCTCTGGCTTGAGGGCGTGTTAAAAGTCATTTTTTGTTTTTATTTGGCCTATATGTCGTATTTCCAGTTTGTATGGGCAACATTGCCATTTTTCATGTTCCACTAGTATAAAAGAAGATATGAGAGATGTGTGAGGTCCATTGCACTCTCATGCATCTCTCTCTCTC